AAGGGGTTCTTGTATATGTATTCACCAAAGTTCTTTTACTTATATAGTCTACATTTTGTGATTGAAGCAACGGTGTATGTACTACTAAATACATAAGCTTTAAGGATGGGCTAAATTTGTTTCACATATAAGATACAAGCCGTTCTCTTCTGCTGAAAGAAGTAAAGGGTTCTTGAGTATGTTTTCACCAAAGTTCTTTTACTTATAGTCAACATTTTGTGATTGAAGCAACGGTGTATGTACTACTAAATACCATAAGCTAAGGATATGGGATAATCTTTGCTAAATTTGTTTCACATCTAAGATACAAGCCGTTTTCTTCTGCTGAAAGAAGTAAAAGGGTTCTTGTATATGTATTCACCGAAGGTCTTTTACTTATAGTCTGCATTTTGTGATTGAAGCAACGGTGTATGTACTACTAAATACCATAAGCTAAGGATGGGATAAATTTGTTTCACATCTAAGATACACGGCGTTCTCTTCTGCTGAAAGAAGTAAAGGGTTCTTGTATATATATTCACCAAAGTTCGTTTACTTAAAAGTCTACATTTTGTGATTGAAGCAACGGTGTATGTACTACTAAATACCATAAGCTAAGGATGGGATAATCTTTGCTAAATTTGTTTCACATCTAAGATACAAGCCGTTCTCTTCTGTTGGAAGAAGTAAAGGGGTTCTTGTATATGTATTCACCAAGTTCTTTTACTTAAAGTCTACATTTTGTGATTGAAGCAACGGTGTATGTACTACTAAGCTAAGGATGGGATAATCTTTGCTAAATTTGTTTCACATCTAAGATACAAGCCGTTCTCTTCTGCTGAAAGAAGTAAAGGAGTTCTTGTATATGTATTCACCAAAGTTCTTTTACTTATAGTCTACATTTTGTGATTGAAGCAACGGTGTATGTACTACTAAATACCATAAGCTAAGGATGTCGGATAATCTTTGCTAAATTTGTTTGACATCTAAGATACACGGCGTTCTCTTCTGCTGAAAGAAGTAAAGCGTTTTTGTATATGTTTTTACCAAAGTTCTTTTACTTATAGTCTACATTTTGTGATTGAAGCAACGGTGTATGTACTACTAAATACCATTAGCTATGGATGGGGTAAATTTGTTTCACATCTAAGACACAGGTCGTTCTCTTCTGCTGAAAGAAGTAAAGAGTTCTTGCGTATGTGTTCACCAAAGTTCTTTTACTTATAGTCTACATTTTGTGATTGAAGCAACGGTGTATGTACTACTAAATACCATAAGCTAATGATGGGATAATCTTTGCAAAATTTTTTTTCACGTCTAAGATACAAGCCGTTCTCTTCTGCTGAAAGAAGTAAAGGGTTCTTGCGTATGTTTTCACCAAAGTTCTTTTACTACATTTTGTGATTGAAGCAACGGTGTATGTACTACTAAATACCATAATCTAAGGATGGGATAACCTTTGCTAAATTTGTTTCACATCTAAGATACAAGCCGTTCTCTTCTGCTGAAAGAAGCAAAGGGTTCTTGCGTATGTTTTCAAATAAGTTCTTTTACTTTTAGTCTACATTTTGTGATTGAAGCAACGGTGTATGTACTACTGAATACCATACGCTAAGGATGTGGGATAATCTTTGCTAAATTTGTTTCACATCTAAGATACAAGCCGTTCTCTTCTGCTGAAAGAAGTAAACGGTTCTTTCGTATGTTTTCACCTAAGTTCGTTTACTTAAAGTCTACACTTTGTGATTGAAGTAACGGTGTGTGTACTACTAAATACCATAAGCTACGGATGGGGCAATCTTTGCTAAATTTGTTTCACATCTAAGATACAAGCCGTTCTCTTCTGCTGAAAGAAGTAAAGCGTTCTTGTATATGTATTCACCAAAGTTCTTTTACTAAAAGTCTACATTTTGTGATTGAAGCAACAGTGTGACTGTCAGCATACAACCTCACCAGCTTGAATTCTTTTCTCTTCGCATGGAAAAGAGAAGCAGTGCTTTATATTGGGTGGCGCTCTTGAAAAAGCTTACGGGTATATCCTGGGATATATAGCCATTTTATGGTCTGCCGTTAACTGTAAGGAAAAGTTCCAAAATAGCCTTTGTGACTTTGTTGCAGTAAGCGGGGAATGTATTATTGGCGTGGTGGGGAGGAAATGGGGTGGAACTGCCTGAAGAGGATAACTTTGTTCCGAGAACAGCTTCCCTGTCACCCAGGGTTAAACTACCGCGGGTTGGCGCGAAGTTGGGCGGTCACAGCGCTCTTCTGGTCTGGCGTTACGGCGATACCGCTTTGACACACACACACATATGGAGATTAATAGCCCACATTCAATTTGGGTAAATGCTATCACAGAAACGAGCCTCTGCATTGAGAACAGCCCTACTGGCGTGCCTTTGCATGCACCTACCCAGCTCACTGTGTGATTAATATATACACAGGCGTACCCATACCTCACTAGCAGCTAACGCCATCTGCCTATGATTATAATTTTGTAAGGTTCATGTAATTTGTTCATTGCGCTTTTATCCCCGGCTTGTGGATTGAAATTAATGGGCCGTATCGGTCCCTAAGCGACACCAGAGAAGGACTTTTAGAGTTGACTTGATGCACCGTCACGTTCTAACGTGGTCCCACGCGCCACATTAATGTCAAAGTAGGGCACGTACAGAATGGTCGCAAAGACGCCGCGGGTGTATGATAGAATATGCCTGCCTGCTCCTAATGCCATGCCTTTTGATGACAACATCCATTTTTAAGACTTCTTTTACTTAGAACTTACCTAACAAAGAGGTCTAGAATATCAAAGACATTCCAGCACAGAGTCCTTAGAGGAGGTGTCGTTTAAGACCCCATTTAAAGAACCATTTATCTTTCCCGAGGTGTGCGCAAAAAAAACAGGACAGCCTGCAAATGTACATTGAATTCATTAATTTTTTTTCATTGTTTCCCATCAATCGCGTTTATCAGTGTGTGATGAAAATCATTGCATTTGCACGTCTGTAAAATATGTAAAAACAACATATGTAAAAACAACATATAATATCAATATAGATGGATCTAAAATCTGCGAAATTGAAAATTTGGCAACGGCAACCTGTTTGTATAATGCAATCATCAATCAAGTTGCAGTAACGTTACACCGCAACATTTGCAGTTGGAACAGGCTAGGATTACATTGGCGATATCAATGAGACGGCAGTTGACCATTCTGATGTAACTGACATCCCTTAGGCCACAGCAAGTAAATTTTATGGATGACATCCTCCCCAGACATAATGACGAAGCTACCTTACAAAGATTAACGAAATATCAGAGATTTCTGACTTCCGGAACTTGAACGTTTGGCAACATCAACCTGTTTATAAAGTAATCAACAATCAACATACAGTTTAGGCGATATCGATGATATTTCAGTTGACCTAATAAATACCCAAAGAAATCATATTTTTAGTCTTACAAAAACTATGCAGTTCTCTACTTCCTGAATTTCCCTATGTCGGTCAGGAATTCTTGTTATCTACGGGCCAGATTCTGAGACGGTTAACCTCATGCCATTCTGCCTCTCAATCTTCCCCCACCCACGTGTTGTCAACCTAATCTGTTCGGACAAACAGACAAACTCACAACTCAGCCAGCTAAAGCAATTATTCCATAACCGGAAGTAAAACGTCATGTTTATTTGCTAAAATGGTTTATGAACATGATACTCGTCTAAGACATATATCTTACCAGCACGCCAAACTATAGCATAATGACAAGGAGACATGGAAAACATTGCCTTTTGGTTTGAGTTCCTCTGCAACGATGTACCAGCTCATGAATGATAACTAGCTCATCATGTGCCGGCGTCCAAGACAGAGAATGGTGATCAGAGAAAAGGCACATCAATCAATAGTTCGTGTTTATAAACCTGCATTTCTCCTCTGGTCTCTTAGTGTCACTGACGAAAGCTAGTGGATATACTACCTGAAATGTCTGACCGTTTCTAAAAGCATATCCAATTGCTTGAGTAACTGTTTTTGGTGTATCTTATTACCTAGATGTCTAACCTTCACTGACGTGCTTATAAACCTGCATTTCTCCTCTTGTCTCTTAGTGTCACTGACGAAAGGTAGTAGATGCTACCTGAAACGTCTGACCGTTTCCAAAATCATATCCAATTGCTTGAGTAACTGTTTTTTTGGCGTGTCTTATTACCTGGATGTCTAACCTCCACTGACGTATAATGGTAATCAAACTTATTAAACCCGACAACCGCAGGCAATCGAGTCTGGAAACAATTGTCTGTAAAGTTAATTACGTTTCTCTCATAATCATAGTCGTAAAACATATTGCCATCTCAGCATGATAAGCAAAACTTTCTGGTGCAAATTGGAATGGGATTACAACACGCTGCTTTTCTCTAATAAAGTTTGCCACGACGGGACGAATATCTTCGTGTTATGCTACAAATCAGCCTGATTGAGACCATAAAAGAAATATGACCTGAAAGATGTAATTATCATGAGCACCACAAACTATCAGAATTTCAGTTGATGACCTGTGTGACAACGGCAGAGTCTGTGACATCCAAAGTTATTTTTACTTAATCGAATTATTAGAATTCTTACATCGTAATTACTACACATGAAGAGATAGATACAGTATACAATCAACTAAGGCTAATCATGAGTTTCGGCATTTTTTCTAATAACAAACAGTATTTTATGTATTTACCTATCATTGCATTGAATCTGTCGATATCATCGAATCTGTTGAAATCTACTGTGCTAGATTCGACAACTGAAAACAGCTTATTACGTAAAACATCATATCAAGAGCATTTCGTGATAAAGTGAAATTCATCTTCGATTTGCTTGGGACAAAAAGGACAGAACCTTTGGTCAGGGGCTGTGTTATCTGCCTGTTTCTATTATTTGGGCTTGCTGATTCTTAACTGAGTATAGCTATATATATTCTTAATTGAGTATAACAAAATACCCACACACACATCTTATCTCATCTACCTTTCCTTCCAGACTGACCATCCACGCTGAGTGTCCGATGATGCTAGAAAACTTCCCGATGGACACCCAGGTCTGCCCGCTACGCTTCGGATCTTGTAAGATTCTAACTGCACTACTCTCTTATGCTAATGCTGAGGTCACATTTCCAAACCGGGGCCCGGGCGGGCAGTCTTATGGAACGAAAAGTATGATATAAAAAACAACAAAGGACAAAAAAAAATATGTGAACTATTTGCGCATATTATTGATATAAATTATTGATTTTTCGTTAATCGTAACAGCCCGGCCGGGCCCCGGTTTGTAAATGTAACCTCAGCTAAAGTAATATATCCGTGCCGGAGCCCGGCCGGGTTGTTTGCATGACCAAAAACTAAGCAGTTCAGTTCAAGAATACATATAAATTATAGCTTTCATGATTCCTTTTTAAACGTTTTTAATAATCATTGTAATAATTATTGGAAATTGTGACTGAAGCTTTAGTTTACTTTTATTGTGAGGATAAAGAACTAAAAATAATGGAGCAACTGAATATTTTGTCCAGAATTATATGCATTCTCCAATGTTGAACATCTGTCACCAAAGTTGTGATAACAGAGAAGTTTATTGCAAATTCGTGCCCGGGGGCTAATTGCAAATTACAAACATAAAAGAACATTGAAACAAGAGTATAAAATAACTAAAATCTACATGATAAAAGGTAGTTGTCTAAAGCTATAGGTATATCTAAAATTATGTCTAAGGGGTTTGACCTCTCTTTATTAGACCATGGAAGACGTTCTGTCCCACCTTTTCTAAAATTAGTGGGTTTTGGGAAGTTAAAAGAAGAATATTTTTTTCTTAGTCTGTATGTTTAGTAAAATTGGGATAAATTGTAGAAGTTTGAATAGTCAACTCATTTCGAGCGTTGCTATGAAAGGAACAATTTGAGGTAAAGTGTATTTCGCGTTCCACAGCCTTTGCATTACAATATTTACAAATAATATAATGACAAAAGCATTTTGTCAACATGAGTTGCTGTCACCCGTGTACACTACCAAAAATGTTTTTTTCTTATTTTTCTTATTTTCTTATGTTGAGAAATATTTTCTTGTCAGGAGGGATTTTCCAGAAAATTCATGAAAAAAGTAACATTCTTCAAAGATTTTGTATGTTGATTCTTACACAAAGAATTTTATTCTTCTTTTTTTCTTAAGAAAAGAAAATATTTCTACTATCTACACATGTGTTTCTTGAATTTTCTTGCTACGGGGATTCTTTAATTTCTTGTTCAAAGAATAATTTTCTTGCTACAAGATACATTCTCTTTGTACCAGGAAAAAACAAGAAAAACAAGACAAAAGATACAAAACCGGAAGTTCTGCTGCAGTACCAAGGTCATCCACCAGGAGGCCCATATTTGACCTTGACCTTTTTCTCCTAAAACTACCAGTATACCAAATATCATCACAATCCATAAAGGCGTTATGAAGTTATGCTGACTACAAATGTGCGGAAACACGAACACACAGACACACACACAGACACGCCAAAAACAATACCTCCATTTTTCATGGAGGTAACAAGAAAAAGCATTTTTGGTAGTGTATGCAAGCTGCAGGAATGGCCGTACATTAGATGTACAGATTAACGTCCCTGCTTACCTAATGATCATTACTGCACGTCAATCACCTCCATAATGAGCGTTACTCGTGATGTTACAGCAATGATGGAACAGCCACAGAGCTAAT